GTCAGTTAAGCATCTGCCTTCGGCTCAGGTCATGATCCCAGGGTCCTGGGATCGAGCCCCACATCGGGCTCCCTGCTCGGTGGGGAGCCTGCTTCTCCCTCTCCCTCTGCCTGCCATTCCTCCTACTTGTACGTGCACGCTCTCTCTCTGACAAATAAATAAAATCTTTAAAAAATAATAAAAAAATAAAATGCAGGTGGGCATTGGGAACCAATCAACCATGTGCGGTCTGATGCTTGTTCAGTAAGGGTCAACACTTTGAAATCTGCAAACTCTCAAAAAGCCTCCAGGAGCACTGTGTGTTCAAACACCCCCTGCCTTGGAATGACATTAGAACCAGTTGATGGTCTGTACCAGGGATCGGAAACCAGGGACCCCTGGGCAGAATTCAAGGGGGGTGTAAACTTACATGGTGAAAAAAAAATGACATCTTTATATTCACTAACCAGTAATTGAACCTTAGCATTTGAAGCAACTGAAACCTCCAATCATAAATAAATGTAGGCAACAAATACAGGAGTATTAGCAGCCGCTGTGACCTGTCACAAGTAAAAATTAGTTATTTTCCAGTCACATTCTAGCTGCCACTACTCTCTCAAAGTGTTATTCATGCTCATCACAACTTCAAAACAGTGGTAGCTATCAGATGTACCGCTAGCTCTTATTATTTAATGAGCCAATAAATAAGCACATATATTATCTATAATTTTAAGAATGTTTTGATAATTATTTCAACATAATTAGGCCATAGGTAATCCTATGTATTTTATTTCATGCAGGCTTTACCAAGTTTCCCAAGCTATCTTAAGAACAAAAAAGTTCAGGGGTGCCTGGGTGGCTCAGTCAGTTAAGCATCTGCCTTGGACTCAGGTCATGATCCCAGGGTCCTGGGATCGAGCCCCGTGTGGGGCTCCTGGCTCAGTGGGGAGTCTGCTTCTCCCTCTCCCGCTGCCCCTCCCCCTCATGTGCTCTCTCTCAAATACATAAAATCTTAAAAAAAAGAACAAAAAAGTTCAGAATCTGGTAAAAACAGAGATGTGAGTAAGTAATACTCACCTGCAATCTGAACAATAAAATTAATGAGTCTACGGCATTTGCTTCCTCAGGGATCTCTGAGCTGGAGACCTTTGGCAATGAGCAAGAAAGAATACCATGCTCTCTTCGCATTTTAGATTCTTTTAAAAAATTATAATTAGAACATCTGTCCAGCAACTGTAGATACAAACAGACTAAGCTTGGCACACCTCCGTCTCCTATACTGGATGAACCACACAATGGCCAAGACTCAAAAGTAATAAGTGAGTCGATATCATTTCAAAAGATGTGTCTCAGGCACATACTATGTGTGAGATACTAGGGACACGGAAGTTGGTCAGGTGCAATATATGAAAGTCATAACCACCACGATGCAAACACATGGATGATCTAGCAGCTATTCCAATCTTATCGGCAATGCGCGTTCCTTTTTTAAGTAAGGAACAGGGTTTTCTTTCCTCTGCTCAGAGAGAACAAAGTTGGGGCTCTTCCACATGCCAGAGGTGGGTAAAAATAAATCAGCTACTCTCCTTTAAAAGTTCCCTCTTCTGTTAACACTTAATTATTTAGGCAATGGTTGAAAACAGACTGGTCTTGATCCTCTTCCATTGATTGCATGGCTTGGAAAAGCGCTGAGAACACGCCCCCTCTCCGATTTCATTTAGCGACGCTTAAAGGGGCACGAGGGAACATTTCAGGATGATAGAAATTTCTAAGTTAGGACTGTAGCACTGGAAACAGGACGGTATACATGGGTTAAAAGTCCTCGAATTGTGTGCTTCCAACTCGCCGAGGTTTAGCGTATATAAAGTGAACATCAAAAAAAAAAGTTGACTGAAAACGAAATTCCCTACTAAATTTTAAATCACGCTTCTCCTTTTCTGAGAGAGACTACTGGGGTCTAAGTTTCCAGTTCTGCTTTCTGTGGTGCAACCACGTATGAAGTCATGCTATCACTCGCATTTCTGTGGCAAGCAGCTCAGTGGCTCCCAGAAGAATGACTAAGTGCAGAGAGGGAAGAACGAATTCCAAGATAGAGGCGCCTTGCTCCCCAAATGGCTCTTTCCTGGAACTGAAAAATGTATCACTCGGCTAACAAAAAAGGAACTTGTCGGTGTCTTGTTACCATGACCACCTTTACTGAACATCTACTATGTGCACCATGACCTCTAATCTTTGCAAAATCCTAGAAATTAAGCACAGTTGATTCTTGAACAACATAGGTTTGAAATGCATGGGTTCACAGATTTTCTTCAGGGCTGCAAAAGCATTTTCTCTCCCTTATGACTTTTTTTTTTTTTAATTGAGAGATACAGAGAGAGAGAGCGAGCATGAGCAGGGGGAGAGGCAGAGGGAGAGGGAGAAGCAGACTCCCTGCTGAGCCAGGAGCCTGATGTGGGGCTCGATCCCAGGACTCTGGGATCATGACCTGAGCCGAAGACAGATAGATGCTTAACCATCTGAGCCACCCAGGCGCCCCATGACTTCAAAAAAAAAAAAAAAAAAAAGATTTTATTTATTTATTTGAGAGAGAGCACGAGCAGGGGGAGCAGCAGAGTGAGAGGGACAAACAGACTCCCCAGTGAGTGTGGAGCCCCGACGCAGGATTCTATCCCAGGGCCCCGAGATCACGACCTGAGCTGAAGTCAGCCGCTTAACCAACTGAGCCACCCAGGCGTCCCTCTTCCTATGACTTTCTTAATAACATTTTCTTTTCTCCAGCTCACTTTATTGCAAAAATACAGTACATAATGCATATAACATACAAACTACATGTTAATTGACTGTTAATGCTATCGGTGAGACTTCCGGTCACCAGTAGGCTATGAGCAGTTCAGTTGTGGGGGAGTCAAAAATTATACTCGAATTTTTCAACTGTGCAGGCAGCTAACGCCCCTAGCCCCTGCACTGTTCCAAGGGTCAACTGTATTAGCTCCTCATTTTTTGCCAATACCACAAAATGAGTAAGCGGTAGGGCCCGTATAAAACCCAGCTCTAGCTTAGAACCCAAGTCCCATAATGAAACTCAAACATACATAATGTCCCCAGGAATCAATAAAAGCACAGTTATAAAGACTGGGACATATGATCCCATGGCGGCTTTTTCATCCCACGGGATCCGACCCATTGGTATCAATAGGCAGGTAGAAGTCACTCAATTACTGGAGTTAGTGCTTTTTTTTCCTGACAACAGCCAGCTGATCTTTGAGTCACCCATTTAAAACAAAGGCCTGCCAAAGCTGCAAGGAGAGCTAGGAATAATAACTAAAATTCCATCTGAGAGGCAGCTCTGGATTTCAATTTTTCTTGATCGCACGGCCTCGCTCCTTGCATAAACAAAGGTGGCATTTCTACTCGGCAGACACATCGTGATAAGTAAGGCCATCTTCACAAACTTTAGAGCTCTTTATTTTAGAATTCATTCCACTTCACCAACCACAATTAGCCCAAGCACACATATAATTTAAAAATAATCTCCTACAGAATGTACTTGGACAACAGTCATAAACATTACCAGCTCATAAATGTCCTCCTCAGGCTTTGGAACATAGTGTTGCATTTTGTTTTCTATTAGAAATTTCAGACGCAGGTAATGAGCAGAATGATCCAGTTGATGTGTCTGGGACAAAAGAAAGGAAAAAGAAAAGACAATGTGTGTTCAATAGTAAACAGGAATAATTAGCGTACCACTAACATATTACCATGTATCCCCCGAGAATTCTAGAGATTTCTCACTGCGGAGGGGGAAAGGTTTCTATACCTCTTAGAAGGTTTACATCCAAAACTCAAACCTTGAAAGCATTTTCATTGAACAAATGAATAATATTCCACGGATAGCTTATGATTCCACAGAAATAACTGAGTCACATCTTCACTTCTGCTTATCTGAGTCATACTCTTTAACACTGGTTTTGCATCAGATTAGAGAGGCCCTTCCACAAAATTCCAAACATACAAAGGTGATTAAAGAAGTAACAGAAAGGCAAGGAAGTATTCCCAGGGATAGAAAAAAGCTGTGCCCTGGCAAAGTTGTTTTCTAACCACATGGGGACACTGGGACAGTTGTTAATAGTTCATTTGCAGGCGAGTCAGTGTGAAGACAAGGCATTTGGATTTCAATCTTATTTATATACACCCCGAGTGAGACTCCCTCCGGGGGCAGTGCAGACGGGCATGGGTCCAGCTTTGGAAACACATTGAATGACTTGCCCAAAGAAAACAGTTCTAAAATAGCTAAGGATTGAAATTTCCAGGCCTTCTCCTTTGGTCCAGAACGGGTCAACTGATCTTTCCCCTCTAGAAAGTCATCCTCGATTTAACGTTTCGGGGGGGGGGGGGGGAGCCATAATGGCAACATGGTTTTATAACTAATCCCCAGTCTACATTCATGAAGACGCAGAGAAAAAAGTAAGAAAATGCTCTCTGAAAGTTACATGTCAAGCCTGAAAATGAATTGTTAGAAAATGTTTAAATTGGGTCATTTTTTTTAAAGCATTCTTATCTTTTAGAGATTCATCTTCAAGGACTAGGAGATAAAGATATGATGTCTGCAATTTGCTTCTAAAATAATCCAGAGCAGGGGGTGGAAGGGAGTTAGTAAACAGATGAAACGTAATTCCGGTAATCACAGAACCTTGGTGATAGATACGCAGGAGTTTATGACAGGATTCTCTACTCTTACAGAAGTTAAAATTTTTCATAAATATAAAATCTCTTCCCACCAAAAGCTCCACTGGTGAGAATTATTTCAATATAAGTGAAATTGATTTTTCACTGCATTCATCCTCTGCTTACCCTGCCCACCCCCCAAAAACATTTGAAAGGCCAAACTAAGATCATGCCAACAATTATTCCAATAAGAGTCATTCAATCACATCTAACAAACTCTTAAGTGTGTCAGGCACTGTGAGAGGCACTGCAGATATAGAAATTAATAAGACATAAATGCAGTCTTCGGGATTGTGTGTGGCTATGGGGAAAGGGTGTGCAGAAAATGGAAGGTGGGGTGGTGGCGGCTTCACTTTTTAAATAAATACACATGCAAGATACGCATCTTGGATTATCACAAAAGCACATTTCCAGAGAGTGCAAATGAGTTTGTTCTGCACACCTAGCAGAATGATAAAGAAGTTTCCTATCAGTGACTCTTCGGAACCCCCAACCTGCACCCTCTCTTGAGTCAAGTGATGGTCTAAAGCCCACTGTGTGATCACAGGCACCACTGATCAAATGCTCAGTGTCTCACAGACCCAGATGGTTGGTGTCTAAGATACTAAGAGTGTATGGGTAATCCAGAGAAGCATAAAACAGGCAAGTTTTCAAGTGTGCGATCTATTGCTTGTGGGAGAGCTGCTGAGACAAACAACGAAGTAATAGTATTTAGGGTAATAGGATCAGAAAAGTTTCTCTCCAGAGATAGAAGCTGCAAATGCTTCCCACCTACCTAGGTCCTCACTGAAATCTTTAAGTAGAAGAAAAAAATTTTGTTCCCCATCTGTTTCTGACTGAGGTGGGAAGGAAAGAAATGAAACTCCATAGAGTCTTGGTTAACAGGAACAAATCTACTTGGCACCCTTACTGTCACCATTAATAAACACTTTGTGGATTCTCCCAATGAGGCTGTCACTTAAACAGTCTTCTGGAAGTTGGACCCAAACAGCAACCTCACCTAAGAAGTTTCTGGTTCCTGAACCCTCAGTGTGAGAGACAGATGGCCCACTGTCAGGCACCAAAGATCCTAAGATGGTCCTGATGAAGACTGGAGATTCTCATCACACCTTAAATGCTACTGTGCTAAAACATTTATACAGATGTACAGAGAATGACAAACGACAGCTGTCAAGGTACCTCACTTAAAGGAACACAGCAAAGACAACCAAAGAGTGATAAATATAACAGTGATAATGAAGCTGATTCTTGCCACCCCCCCCTCCACCACAGCCTTTTTTCAAACTTCGTGAAGTTACAATAATGTCTTGATGATTTTGAAAAATAAAAATGGCACATGCAACAAACAAAAATTTTAATGGTCTTACTCGTAACCAAGGTGCCCTTAGATTGGTCAGTAAACAGTTACCCTAAAAATGGGACATTGGCTCAATATACCAGAGTGTCTATCATTTTGGTAATTATGTCTCAATTACAAGCCCTCACTAGTCACGGCTGCTCCAACGTAAAGGCAAAATCCTAATGAATTAACTAACGAATCACTTAATCCTAAAGAATTAAATCAGATCATCAGAACTCTCAAGAAGAATTTTATGCTCCCTAAATATCTGCAAGTCAAAACCAAAGCATGTTGAGCAAATTACCATGTTCACAATACATCACTGTGCAGAAAGAATTCCAAATATCAATGAATATTTCAACATGGCAATTTTAAATATTTGGCTTGCTGTAGACTTGTAAAACATTCAAGAGAAACCTTCCTAACTCAAGAGAAATTCAACAAGGGAAAAATTTAAGTGGTACCAATTTGTTTTCCAACGTGCATTTACTTACTTAGAGAGCGTTTGATTCATTTTGAGGCCATGTAGCCACAAGTTCTACCCGAAGATAAATATTACCATAGAACAAGTATTAGTTTAGTTGGCATATTTTTTTTAATTTGCATCTACTTCAAAGGATGAAGTAGTGAAACACAATGCAGTTTTTTTCAGTAAATAGTCTGAGCCAATTACAATAGATAATAATGTGATCTTTCCATCCATATGGGTTTGCTCTTCCATTTTGGTCCAACTTCTCAGGGAAACATAAAAGCATGCAGTTACCACATATAGAAATCCATGCAAATACACACACACAAACACACACACACACACGCTACTGTGGAATTTCCAAAGATATTTATCTTCCTCTTCAAGGTGACCTTTATTTTTTTTTAAAGCCAATGGTTATTAGAATAATCAAAGGCATAAGCCAACATAGGGATGGCATGAAATAAAACTCTCATCCCAGGGCCACACGTGAATTATATCAGTGAGTATGGATGAATGAATTTTTTTGCAATTATTTTGGTAATTGCAATGATCAGAATATATCGAAAACCCACAGGCCAATGTGGTTACCTGCTATATTTAGCAACAATCTTTTTTGTAACATCCATAACATGAACAGTACATGAAATGTAGATCTTGAAACATTTACTATACCAGAACTTGACTGGCTCTCGGATGGCAGATGACAAACTGATGGGAAATGATGTGGAGCAGATAGAATAGGAAAGAGAATGAGCTGAATGCAAGAGACAGAAGAAAGAGATTGATTATTAAATATTAGAAAAAGCATCCATCACCAACGTTGAGAATGACAATAAAGAAATAAAACACACATTCTGACAATCACCTTTTTTTTTCAGTCCCTCCTCCAAGAGAAAAAAAACCCACTCACCATTAATTAGATCATTAATAACATGTGGCACTGTTCCCCCATTATCTCTTTCCCTCTTAAGAATAAAACTGGCTCCACTAATTACAATAAAGTGTTTTCCAAAGAAGAAGCCAGCTTTAGAAGGCACCTGGCTCTCAGCACACTATATAATTTATCCTACATGGGTGCTTTTCCAGAGACCATCAATTTCTTAAAGTACACACGAAAGTTTTCCATTTTTAAACTCGTGACACGTAAGCTTGTCCCACGCCATATTGTTTTTGTCTTTATTTCTACATTTGGGGAAAAAGAGCTGAGGATCCAAGGAAAATTGGGCAGGATGACCTTCTGTTGTTGGAGAAAGGGATCTGTGCCCTCATGAAGCCATCAACAGCCCTTCAAGTGAAAGAAAGAAACATCTTACAGGGGGACAAGTCCAACTATCTATCCAGAGATGGTCTGTAGTTACCGTGGCAATACCATTCCTCGTTCCTTGGGTTTCTACCAAGACAACCACTTGAAAAGGACCTAAAATTGGGCCCATCACTATTTTCCCCACTCACTGTTCAATTTTCCACCAATCAATGGTCATTGGAAACTGTGACCTACCCTCCCATCCCTAATTGTGTCTGAGGCTGATGGATACAGGAGGTGTTAAAGCAATGCCATCCCCTTGAAGGACCCTCCAGAGTTTGGCTTGTTAAAAAAAAAAAAAAAAGCACCAGAGAGTCCTACTTTTGACACCTTCAGCTGCAGTTCTGAGAATAACTCCCACAGCTCTGCAGAATATTAATGGGTCTCTAAAGAATCGTGCTAATCTATAAATAAAAGAATGCAGAAATCCTCAATAGGCCAATTTTGTTAAGTAATGAAAATGAAAAATGTGAACAGAAATACCATTATCTTCAAAAAGCTGGAATTCACGTACATGAAGACTTCAAAGCATGTAACAGAGTATCATTTATTTTTAACACCTATGTGGGGGCTGGTTTTAGCTTTGTCCCGAAACAAATGGTCCTTCTACATTTCTTGCACATAAGGCTTATTTGAGCCAGACTGTTTCATTTCTCCCACTCACGGAAAGAGCCACATTTTTTTTTTCTTTACAAAGGCCCTAGTGATTTGTTTTCTTTAACAAATTCAAAAATCACTGATTGTAGAGTTATATACAGCACTGAGGTAGTTGCTCTGGGAGAGAAAGTTAGGCAGTGTTTATAAACCACTGCATTGAGTGAGGAGGTCCTCAAAATGTCATTGTCTCCATCCAATTTCTTCCAGGGCAAAATTATGCCAGAAAGGTCTCCACTTGCCCTTTCCTGGCCCTGGGGAAAACCATCACACTGTCTAAAGAATATATTCTAGATTCTTCTGACCCTTATGTACCATCCTTCCTGATGACTGATCTGGTGCAGGAGCGACTGCCTTCGGCTCAGGTCATGATCCTGGAGTCCCGGGATCGAGTCCCACATCGGGCTCCCTGCTCAGCGGGGAGTCTGCTTCTCTACCCAGGCTCAGAGCAGCCAGGTAGATGTGGGTTCAGTCCCTCCTTTGCAACTGAGCGCAGTGTGAGCTCAGGGCCGGGAGCTATGGCTCTCTGGGCCTCCCCTTCTCCATCTGTATAATGGGCGGGGGGCACCAGTTCTTTCTCAGACTTGATAGAATAGACTGAATAAAAAGGACTATTAGTGTTATCAATTGTGTGGAAGTAAAAACAGGCCCATGAGAAAAGCTCTTTTCTTTCCTCTTTTGCTTATTTGACTTCATCTGGCTACCCGTTAGGGGCGAAAAAATAACACCATGTTGACCTTGAAAAAGATTAGGAAGTTTCTCAGCTTCAAGTGAAAGCAGAGAGAGTGAACTCAGGCATCTGTCACACACGCACACACGCACACACACGCGCGCGCGCGCGCAAAAAGAGGCTTAAATACGGTGTTTTATAGGAAAGGGAGTTTCCCATCATGGAGGTCAAACATATTTCTTTCAGTTTTTCTCTCCCCGGATGCAATGGTGTGTCGGTTGCTGTCAAAAAGCAGGTTACACACAGCACACATAACATGGTATCATTAAATACATGCATGTGTGTATGTGTGTGTGTGTGTGTTTGTGTGTGTGTGTGTGTAGAAAACAGAAGGGAAGGCAAAACGCCAGACTGTTTCCAGCATAACTTCTGGATCCTATAAGGGTGGGTTTCACTCACTTTGTTCTTCCCCCAAATTTTCTAAAATTTTTTCAGTGAGCATGTGATAGGCTTGTTACCAATCTATGAAATACACATATTGAACGGAACTACTTAAAAAGAATCCCTCTCCTCCCAAAGCCAAAGAATTCACTTCCGCTTATTATGCGTATGATCACAAAGGAATCCGAAGTTGCTCTGAGAGGAAATGGAGGTACTCTGGGAATGCCTTCCTCTCTGGCACACCTCTCAATTCCCACGTGTGGCAGGGAAGGTTCCTACAGCCCTCTCTGCTCTTTTCAAGGAAATGACCCCAAGTACTTTCATACCTTGCAGATCAGCTCCAGGGTGTCCCGGGCAGTGTCCCCAGGCCGGACGACCGTCAGGGCTGGCTGATTATTTGGCAGACAGAACCAGGACGGAGTGAAATACTCATGGACCCAAATGTCGCAGTCAGGATTGTGCTGGTGAACACTGGGCAGGACCATTTCTTTTTCCCTCTACGGTAAGAAATGAAGTTAGCCGGGCAATAGTAGTCAGGACTTGCTATCTCAGATCCCCAGATCGTACATGGGATTAGTTATTCCCATGAACATGGCCCACAGCAGAAATGGTGGCGCTGGTTAAGGACAGAGGGGAATATTCCGAGGCAGCAGGAAACTACCGAGAGAAGCGCTTTAATGGAGGAAGGAGAGATTTCTTAGATATGGTTTCTCAGACTCGGTCCATGGCATCCACGGGTGGGCAGTGTGTGAGTGAGTGGGCACTGAAATTTGGAAGAAAGAAAGAAATGGATCATCCATTCAGCTCAGTGTTCTTGCTATGATTTCTTCCACCAACCCACCTTAATTTAGAGCAGGGAATTCCTACAGCAAGAATTATCTACTGTGTGAGTTATATGTTTCAAAGGCAACAGTGAGGCCCCAAGGACATTTTTAAAGAAAAGATTATGTTCTAGCACTCATATGTACAGGGAGCATCATCTTTGTGCTTGCATTTGACCTCTAGCACAGTTCTGAGAGGAAGACAGCTCCATTTCCCAGGTGGGGTTCGAGTAACCTTAAGGCATGAGCTTGCTGGCCTTATTAGGCTGTTGCCACACTCCACCCTCCCCACCACTCTGCCTGAGGGCCAGGGAGTAGCACCAAGTTTGTAAGGATGAGAAAAGATGTGTCTTACGTATACGCATTCAGCAGCTGGGTTAATCTAAGCATACGCAACTAAAACACTTAATAGCAATGAAATAGGAGCCCAATCTCTTTGAAATTAGCAAACAAAGAATGATGTTAGATTTCAGCAATGTAGAAAGAATACTGATGGGCAAGATGTGCTTTGATAAGACTTGATTATTGGTTTAAAACCAGGCCACCGATCAGAAATACATATCTAGGGGCGCCTGGGTGGCTCAGTTGGTTAAGCGACTGCCTTCAGCTCAGGTCATGATCCTGGAGTCCCGGGATCGAGTCCCTGGATCGAGTCCCATATCGGGCTCCCTGCTCAGCAGGGAGTCTGCTTCTCCCTCTGACCCTCTTCCCTCTCGTGCTCTCTGTCTCTCATTCTCTCTCTCTCTCAAATAAATAAATAAAATCTTTTAAAAAAAATAAATAAATAAATACATATCTATAGGTTACCAAAAACAAGGCTGGTATTGGCAAATTACAAGAAGAAACAAATTTCCAAGGTGGTAACGTAACAACTTTCATTCATAAAAAGAATGAATCCCAGAATGGGGGACATATTTTTGTAAAGGCTACTCAACTAAATTCACTTGAGAAAACAATTTCAGCTCTGGCTTTGAATGATGTCGCTTGTGCAGATAAACTGAACCCCAAGGAAGGCCTGGCAAAAAACAATCAACTTGGCTAAATCCCATTAACTAAAATTGGAATCCTCCTACTGTCCTCACGCACCATGTAAAATAAATGCCCCTTAGCACTGAATCAGCCCAAGTTTTGCATTTAAACTGCTCTTGGAGATCAAGGCATTCTAGCCATGAAGTGGAATAAAGAAATATCTCCGAGAAATGGAAAAACAAAAGGGACACAGAAATCCAAAGGAAAAACATTTGCAGGTTCCAGGATCTGTTTGCCTGGAGAGGGTATCCCAACATTAAAAATGAACTAATAATGGGGCGCCTGAGTGGCTCAGTCGTTAAGCGTCTGCCTTCGGCTCAGGTCATGATCTCAGGGTCCTGGGATCGAGCCCCGCATCGGGCTCCCTGCTCAGCGGGAAGCCTGCTTCTCCCTCTCCCATTGCCCTCTGCTTATGTTCCTTCTCTAGTTGTCTCTCTCTCTCTGTCAAATAAATAAAGAAAATCTTAAAAAAATAAAAGTGAACTAATAATAGTATGCAAGATGAGTTACCTAACTTCAGAAATGGCTTCATTAACATCAAAAACTATGCCTGGATTGCACGTAGGTATAGCGATTTAATTACACCAGATCTCATCAGAGAGTTTTTCAAAGAGAGGGCTGTGGATGGGTATTTCCCACCTGCCTCTGCACCCACGATGACATAATCCAGGAGTAGTTTGAGTACAAAAGTGAGAAAAGGCCTGCCCGTGGCCACCCGTCTCTCCTCCCCCTCCAATGGCCCGGACTCCCCATCGCACTCTGGCTTCAGAGGCTAGACTCCACCTAGAGTGCAGGGGTGTGCTGACTGCTGACCACCGCTGCTTGGTTGCATGGCAACCGAGGGGCTGAAGTCTCTGTCATATTGATTCCAAGTCTGAGAACCAGAGGATCATTCCAAGGTCGCATTAACAACATCGGAACCTCCCGAACAAAGAGGTTGTTGGCATCACTACGAGGGTCTTTAAAACTAGGGATGTCCATTTATTTAGAGGCTGAAAAAAGTGGCCCAGGAAAAAAAAAAAAAAATCAATATTCTTCATGGGCTTTCAATCAGAGCAGTTTGACAACCCCTTTTAAATCCAAGCACAAGGTTGGAACAAGTCTGTGAATCTTTAATTGAATACTTGTCTTCAGGAGGCAAATGCAGTTTTGTTTTTTTTTAAAAGAGTATACTATCGGAACAGTTCTTTGAAATTAATGGGAACAAAACAGCATGTGTGGGCAGAGAGGGAGGGCAGTAAGAACTCACTTCTTGGGAATGGAAATTGGATATAAAAGGAATCAGCAATGACATAAAATACTCAGCTCCCCAGAACCCAAATTTTGTCTTAAATTCTAGATGGGAAATTACACATCCAAATGATAAGTATTGAAAATGTTATGTCAGCAGGAGCATGTTCTTATTGTTACCAAGTTTTAAACATAAAAGGCTTTTCCATCTTTTACTGACCTGTTACATAACTTTGAAGATCTGATCATTTCGGTATTTAACAGAGTCCACTTAATTTTAGGATCCCAAGAACCCACTGAATTGTGTGATGTTGATACATTTGTGGTACTTTTAGAAAAGGAATGTGTTTATTTTTACCTTGCCATCTGGAACAGTGTCATCAAATATTCCCTCTAAAGATTTCTTTACAGCATCCGTTCCCTCACCAAACACCTGCACATACAAAAGGATCATCTTAAAAAGGACCTTGGGCAGGAGGGCAAACGAAGCATGGGAAGGGGGACGGAAAATGGACACGGCTCTTAGAAAACATTACGGAAGTTTCCAGCTACTACTCTATCAGATCCATAAATAGGGAACGTAATTCCATGGTAGCAGACCATGAAAAATATGTTCCTCTAACTGGATCACTTCCCATATCTTTGACAACTCAAAAAAAAAAAAAGAAGAAGAAAAGAAAAAGTTAGCTTTTAGATCTGGAAAATTCGTTTAGATATAAAGACAATATGCTTGCAAAAGCAATGAGCTAGGTCTCTTCACATTGAAGTTTCTGCAATTCCCTCCTAGACACGATCAAATATTTATCAATAATTAATTTTTCATACTCTGTGGAGTAGAACCTGAGAACATACATTTATAGTACCTTCCACACCACAGAAAAGGTTTTTTTTTTTAATTTAAAAAACAGAAATTTGTCTGTTCTTTGAAATTAAATGAATTCTGCTAAGTAGTCAAAATCTAAACACGCAGACAGGAGAAATTACATGTATTGGCTCTAAACCAATCAGGTACTGTCAGGATAATACAGATGATTAAGAAAAAGCCTTTCTCCCGATGCAAATGAGATTGATAGAAACAGACAATTTTTGTCCATTTCAAAGTACTGAATTAGTAAGTAAATTTCTGTTGGTGCTTAAGGCTTATTCTCTTGGTGCTTATGGCTAAGCAAGAAGTTTTTTTAAACGCTTACTTCAAGAGAGAGCAACAAGAATTGCTTATAAGATGTTGCATCACCCTTTGATTTTTGAAGTATGTTAAAACATTCTCTTGCACTCAGTTAACTCGAGTCATCTACTTCAGCAGCAATAGGAATATGACATAACCTGGCGCCAATGAAGTAGAACCACGTGAACCAAGGCTTTTGATAGAAAAGAAGGTCAAGCCAAGTTGCCAACTGCAAAGTCCTGGCATATATTTTAGTGGTGGTCTGAGTCATCTGCCATCACAGGAGGATTCACACAAACCACCACCACCACCTCACAAAAGGAGGGGGGAGTCCTGACTCTGAATGTCCTCCTTTTGCGGGTTTAAGCAAGAGCCACCAAGTCTCCTGTGTGATTTTTTGGATGAAATAATGACTTCCTGGGGCGCCGGGGTGGCTCAGTCGGTTGAGTGTCTGTCTTCGGCTCAGGTCATGATCCCGGAGTCCTGGGATCGAGTCCCATGCCGGGCTCCCTGCTCAGGGGGGAGCCTGCTTCCTCCTCTGCCCCGCCCCTCCCCTTGCTCCTCCTCTCTCGCTCATTCTCTCTCTCAAATAAATAAATTAAATCTTAAAAAAAAAAAAAAGAATGAATGACTTTCCTCTAAACTTCTTCGGATTTACACAGAAGAAAATTCACTGGTAACAGACTTGATGACCCGCCTTCTCCAAAGACCACAGAACAGACCGCACGATTGCTCGGTCCAGGCTACCTTATCATTTGCTCATCTCGTCTCCTGCAAACTCCATCAAGGATACAGATAACCCACATTTAAACAGTGAGCATGGTGGTCAGTGAAGAACGCAGGACATCAGCTTCCAGGATTAATGTCTCTTTTAAACTTCAGTTCTTAAGCAAACTAACGGCTGGGATTATCAGAACACATAATGAGGGATCTTTTTATCAAGCCGGTCAACCGGCTTCTCACTTTGCATAAGGGCACAGAGTGAACAGGTCAAACTGGCAATCCTCGCCATTACCTCCAAAATGCTCACTGCCTCACTTTCTAGCCACCATCATCCATGAATCCAACATTCTCCTTCTCTGGAAAAGACCAACAGCCGTGTTCCTTCAGTCGCTAAAACCTGAACAAGCAGTCCCGGAACCACTAATTTCACAAAACCAGAGAGGAGCATGACAAATGACAATGGGGAGAGGTTCCTAGAAGTGACTCTAGCAGGACAGCGGTGTGGGCGAGAAGGGGTCAAAGGGACAAGGCCACAGCCTCTGGCGGCAGAGGGCTGACTCTACACCACTCTTGGTGATGCCATGCACCACCTACCGAGATCCCCTTCGAGCCCCAGCATCTGGGTGGGGGGCAGAGGAGATGCCCATTTAATGTCAACCCCAAAAAGTCAAGGGCAAAGAAACAATCCAATTTCCCCAGAGGCTCCCTTTGATCCCACGCCAGAGGCAGCTTAAAAAACTCTGTGCTCAGGTGCCCACTTGGCTGCATCAACAAGCCCTGCTTTTTTCTGAAGACTCAGGATGAATTGTGCACTTTCAGGAGGTCTATGATTAACCAGGGTTTGGAAAGGATGCAGGTGGGGAGACTGGAGCTTGGTGATAGACTAATAGCAGAGTTCAAAGTTAGGAGTATACATTGTCTATTAAAAGCGTCTAGCGCAACCAACTTCTTTGTGTCAACTAGCTGATTTGAAGTAACAGCCAGTATCAATAAAGGCCCACACACATACGCTCACACAGCCCAAGGTGAGCTGGCCGTGGAAGTGATCTGGGCTTGCTTCTTACCTGATTGATGCTGGGGCGTCCCTGCTTCTTTTTGGAGGTAGTGTCCAGACCCCAAAGGGAAGAAAACCTGCTCCTTCGCTTGCTTGCAGATCTGGACATGGCCTGAGTACGACGTCTCACTCCAGTCTCACCAGTGCGAGCTGCCACCTGAGGACAGCAAGGAACAACATCAACGAGAGAGAGGTGTCAGGACTACTCACTTGCTCCTCGGGGTCCCCACAAAGCCACACGTCCAGGGAGCGGCTCTCTGCTTGCCGGATGGGATGCTGCCCGATTCGTGAATTACTTAATAAAGCCAATTAGATCTTCAAATTCATAGAAATGTTTTTTTAAAAAAGCCAACACTGATCCCACCACCAGAGCATTTCATCTCTGACTCATATATGTTGGGACTTTGAGGGCCCTTCGTGGATTTAAAATGTAACTGAAAGGTTGGCAAACTCAATCACTGTCCGAAATCATCAGGAAAATAGTAATATGTAAGACGGTAACAGAATGTATAGGTCCCGTTTCCAAGAAGTAGATGCCCCTCTGGTCACAGGATTGAACTCGAGCAGCAAGTTAAACAAACCGTGCTATCTTGAGATTCTCCCCAAATGCTACAGAGCTGTTTCTATGTTCTAGAAAAACGGTGCCTGAGTGTCAGCAAAACAGTGCAAACAATCGGTGTTCGTTCTTGTGATTCCACATAAAAAAACTAAATTTACCAAGTCTTCCACTAATTTTCTCAGAATTACACAATTCCCTTCTTAGGGAAGTGATAGTCGTCCCCCAATATCATTCTCCCTCTGCCTGTCAGAGAAAACCCCCAGAAGGCTGAGCACATGTCTACCCAAAGTTGACTTATTTTCCTTTGTAGCAGGACATGTGCTTGTGGCTAAGTTCTGGTCACTGGGAGATAAGCAGAAGGGCTATTTGCAATCTCCAGGAATCATCCTCAAGAGGAGGGGGACTTTCCCCTTATCCTTCACTTCCCTCCCTCTCGACAAAGGAAGGTCCATATGCTAACCAGTTAGTCTAGGACATTCAGGCAGAACCCTTTCCAAGATGGCAGGACCATCAGATGGAAGGGACCTGAGTCTGTGAAAATGGTGAAGCCACCTTATTAGCCTTACATGTCCTATGTTTAGGTAAAAGGGGAATAAAAGTTCTGTTTTGTTAAAAAAAATAAATAAACAAATAAAGGGAAGCTAAACTCTGTTGAGATATTTGCAAGATGCCAGCAACCCAGACAAATATTTCTGAGGGCATCACCCCAGGTGTAAGTCTGCCTCTCGGACAACTCAAGGAGATGCCACATCTTCGTGAGGACTCCACAGAGTCCTTCCTAAGCACACATTCATGCTTGAAGTGCATCCTACGGGCTACAAGCAAAGTCCCAGGAGCTTAAGGGAACTTTTGTCAGGAGGTCTCACTAGGCCACCCACAGGCTTTCCTTTCATATAAGGGAGTGCCAGGAGGTACAGCAAGTCAGACTTGAAATGAAACCTCCCCACCCATTCTTTGGAGCTGGAGATGAGTCTTGGAACTTCCTTGTAATAGATTCCCACACGGGCCACTCCCAGGGTGATGTTTGCCAACTGGCAGGAGTCTAGGGGATGAAACATGGTTGGGTAACATGGCCCCCCAGCCATCAGCACGGTGGTTAGAAGGCACACCTCTCTGGGCTTTTAAGTACTCTGGAAGCTCCATGAGTGGACTGGCAAAGATACTACAAACAGGAATCCAAACAGCTTCTCTGCGTATCAGGGGGAAGGTTTTGGTCCCAAATGAAAATAGGCAGATGAGGTCTTATGTTTTCCCAGCTTGGCAAAGAAGAAAACCCAGATCCGGGCAGATAAAAATCCCATATCCAAGACCACATTACAGAAAGAGCTCTCTAATCTAGGATTATGCTCAAGGTGTTGAGAAGGGGACAAGAAAAAACAAAACAAAACAAAAAAAACCCCACAAACCAAAAGGCACATGTTTACTTTAAATAAACATTTTCTCTATTCTCATCACTTTCTTAAAGGTAAACATAAGTTGTAAAAGGAACAACTTACAATGTGCTGACATACATATATATGCTCACATGACTATTTCAGTATAAGATTGTCATCACAAAATGAGGCTAAGAACCACTAAATAAATGGTGTTAAAGTTAAAAATCCTAGAGGGAAAAAAAATGCCCATTTGGTCTCATATTTATATATCTACTTATAAACTGATAAATGTACCCACAGATACAAACACACATACATACAGGCAGCCATATGTAAATATATGGTGGTTGTATTACCCTGTCTATATATACATGTATTATTACCTTGTTTCCTTGTAGCACACATCAATACCTGGATCTACCATGTCTATTTAATTGCTTATTTATTATGCATCACCCCCCACAAGAACATAATCTCCAATAGGAAAAGAACCCTGGGTTGTTTGCTATTATAGCCCTAATCACAAGGAGAATAACTGACATATGCCAGGCCTCACATGTATTTGTTGACTGAATGAATAAAATAAATAAACCAAAATCGCAAAGCAAAAGCAGAGATCCTACATAACGTGGTTACAACAGTAACGCTTTAGTTTACAGTCTAGGAGAGCAGAGCCCAGAAGAGGAACTTCTACAGCCATAAATATTCTCAGTTACCGGCTGACCAGTTGGTTTAGTCTGTTTAACCAATGGGCACTTCATGGAGGGTTCTCACAGTATCTATTCTAAACTGCTGGGGGCCTCGTAAACTGCTAAAGTAAGTGCTACCCCCAACACAATAATGACCCAAAATAAGCAAAGGGATTTGCGGGGGGGGGGGGGGGGCTGGCAAAAGAACTAGGAGACAAGAGCTCAAGAGTTTCTCAATGATCTCTGCCTAGACAATGCCTCCCTTTGTGGCCGGAACCTGATTACTCTATCATTCTGCTCATCTGTGCAAACAAGAACAATGATAACCTTCTTTCAAAGAGTACAGCAGGGACCCTTCAGTTAATTACTGCAAATCACTGAGCATTATGGGAAGCCCTCCTGGTGAATGGGACTTAAACTGTAGCGCAAATCTCCCCCGCCCCCCCCCGTCCCCGCCAGCCCGACTGACCTCACACCTCCTCCTCCTCCAATGCCCCCCCCAAAAGAAGAAGAAGAAGAAAAAAAAAAAAGTTTGGACAAAGGCTAAATTGAAGCCTGTTTCAATCCCAAGGGAAAAAAAAAAATTCCCTGGGGTCAAATGACAAGGAGAGGAGGAAAAAATAAGTATCCAATAAATCAGGCTGCAAAATTCCCTGCCTGGGATCTCCTGCAGGAACTGGAGCAACAAACAGGAACAGATACCTAACAGGCTTGCCTAACTGGTTCTGTCTGAGGTGAAACCCCTCATGGCAAAGAGAAGTTTGCAAGGGCATCTAGACATATGGGCACCCAGATTCACCTTGCAGATGCAGCTGGCGGGGGTTGGGGGGAACCGCCCAAGGAAAAGAGAGCTACACGTGAGGAATTAAATCCTCTTTAAAATCACTGACCAGGGCGCCTGGTGGCTCAGTTGGTTAAGCGTCTGCCTTTGGCTCAGGTCATGATCCCAGAGTCCTGGGATTGAGCCCTGCATTGGGCTCCATGCTCTCGGTGGGGGGGGTGTCCTGCTTCTCCCTCTGCCTGATGCGCCCCCTGCTTGTGTTCTCTCTCTCTCTCTGACAAGTAAAATCTTTAAAATAAAATAAAATAAAATCACTGACCAAAAAGCCTAAGTTACTAACCCTCCCATCTTGAGCTGGCCAGCCTGTCACAGCCTGCCCATCAAAAGAAAAAGATACACAAATCACAGATAGTGAGGTAGAGGAAATTAGATGGACGGGAAATAAGTTACGGAAGGGTAACAATACAGTGACTTACTTCCTTGTTTCAGAGAAGTTAGCTCCAGTGGTTTTGAAGAAAATGAGGCAATGAAGTTTTAGGTAGACAGCAAAATTATTTCTTCCAAAAAATCTAATCAAGCCCAGGAAAAGGAAAAGGCTATTTGGATGCTTGGGGCTTAGAATGAATACGGGATCTGCATCACTGGCATCATGAGCTCCGTTAACACAAACACCACGTCGGTCTATGACATTCTTGCAAGAATTTTTATCCCAATAATTTTTTTTTTTCAGAATAGGCAAACTGGAGATTTGGTCAAGTTACAAATTGGTGTCCAGGTCTCAGAGAGACAGCCCTAGAGCCTCAAACTGAAAACCATTTGCAAGACTTATTCATCATTCGGGCGCCTGGGTGGCTCAGTCCTTAAGCGTCTGCCTTCGGCTCAGGTCATGATCTCAGGGTCCTGGGATTGAGCCCTGCATCGGGCGCCCTGCTCGGCAGGAAGCCTGCTTCTCCCTCTCCCACTCCCCCTGCTTGTGTTCCTGCTCTCGCTCTCTCTCACTCTGTCAATTAAATAAATAAAATCTTTAAAAAAAAAAAAAAAAAAGACTTATTCATCACAGTGCGCTGACCCATCACTATTAAAAAAAAAAAGGACTTAATAGCTATATGGAGAGGTGGTAGCCAGGGAGACCAAGAAAGACCAAGAGCTGAGCTGTAATTAGCAGAACAAATCAGGATGCCAGTTTTAATAAGTCCAGAAATTGGTTTAAGACTTCTTTAAAAATGTAAATCTACCCCTAATTATCTGAATGATGACGCTAATCTATTTATAAAGAATACAAACGCCTTTGACTGAATTACAGCTCTGAATCCAATTGAAGGGTACAGCTGACACGACAAGCCAAGAGCCGCACAGCTAAGGTTTTCCAAAGCTGCTTCTGGAACCTGAGCCTTAACATTTAATTCCGCAGCAAATGTGCTAAGGTGCAGTACGTTTTAAGTGGGTGTTGACTTGGATGGGCTGAAACCATGTTACTCGCGCAGCAATTTTTGAGAAGAAAGGAGCCAAAAGAACATAAAGCTGTTCACAATTTAGCAAGTACATAAAATTATAGACTGCAAACACACAACACGATGCAATCTGCCACTCTGGAGGTCAGAGGAACATTCTCTTTCCCAAGCAGATACATATGTCAGGCTGGAAAATCATGGAAGATCTTTACCTTCCTCGAGTGCATCAGGTATTTATGACTGTCAAGAACTGATTTCCAGAATTATAATATTTAAAAATAAAGTGAAAAGGAAGATCTCCAAAGGGATCTATGTTCAAGATATGGTGTATATGTTTTTGTGCGTGTGTGTGAAAGAGAGAGGATGCATTTACGTATGAGAGAGCTCTCCACTTAACATTTCCATGAGGTTAATATAAAAAAATCTGTATTTGGATTAAAATCAGGACACTGCCTAAAGATGACACGAGTTATCAACAAATACTACATGCAGAGATCTCTTAAGATAATACCTTTCATATTTTCTTTGCACAATAATTTAGGGCCCATCAAGACAGGCTTAAGTAATAAATTTCAGAACAGATTCAAATGAAGATCTGTACCCACTGCAGAGGAGAGGACATGTCAGAAATCCACACATCACAGTAAAGCAGAAAAACACTGCAGAGACTCTTGTCGAGTCCTGCTCAGGATTAATAGTCAAGATAAATATTTCTTAAACACACCTCAGCTTCTACTCACCAGGGCATGAAAAGATGATACAGAAAAGATCCCAAGACGGCCCATTGCCACTTTCGTTGGTCGGCTTGCAAAAGCAAGTAGCCTTTTGGGGTTCGGCAGTTCCCCACCTTGGAGGCTAGCTAAGTAACAGCGGTAACGAAATAGGTCCATTTGGAACTGTTCAAGATTTTGCTCCCAAACAAAGATCTACAGTGGTGAAAAGGTGAGTAAAAGGGAAAACAAACGTTAACAACTTCATCCTACACAAACGTTACAAACCTGTATGTTCTCAAGGTATTGATTATAATCCTAAAGGGTAAACAACAGGTACTCTACATTTCTTAGGAACAGCAGCTCAAGTCTTACTGTTTTCATAACTTAATGTGTTTTTTTTTACCCCCTGCAAAGATCTACAGTCACACGTTCAGTTTGGTAAAAATAAAGTATATGTTAGTTGCTCTGTGTCCTCCTGTTACAGATGTCACGTTTGTGGGCATTCTAGCCCATCAGCTCCAAGCTATGGGCCACAAACCCAAGGAAGTAAAATATGTAGGATTTCTACCACTGGAGAATTCTAGGACTTACCAAGAGATGACTTTTTACAGAAAGACAAAAAAGAAAAGTGAGGCAAAGAGACCAGGAGTTTTTGGGAAGAGGTCACAGGCAAAGAGACCAGGAGCTTTTGGGGAGAGGTCATGGCAGACAATACAGGGTGGGAAGCAGAAAACACTAGACGGTGAAGACTGAGGCTCTGGAATAGAATTCCAACCATAGAGTATATATATCCAAGATATGTGTCCTCGTTTTTCAAAATGGCAAAGTAATACCTACTTCCTAGGACTGAAGTGATATTTAAATGAGATCATGCAAGAATAAGACTTGGTACAGGGTCTGGTATACAGTGAAGGCTCAGTGATGTTAACGATGATATGGATAATGATTAATGGCGGACATTGACTTTTTACTTTGACTTGAAATACAGTGTTAGCGTACGTGCCTATCCATAGCGCTATTCACAACAGCCAAAAAGTGGAAACAGCCCAAATGTCCATCAATGGGACAAACGGATTATCAAACTGTGGTGTGTACAAAGATCCACTACAATGTGGATCAATCCCAAAACATGACGCAAAGTGCAAGAATTCACACACAAAAGGTCATGTATTATGTAATTCCACTTACCACATCCAAAATGGGTGAATCCATTGAGGCAGACTGCCAGGAGCAGAGGGGAGCAATTTAACAGGTACTGGGTTTCTTTCTGGGGTGAATGACAATGTTTGGCAACTAGACAGAGGTTGTGGTGGCTCAATATTGTGAATGAACGAAATGCCACTTGAATCGGACACTTTGAAATGGGTAATTTTATGCCTCAATGACCATAAATACCATGTCAGGTAACAGAGGGCGAGACCCACGGGAAACCACAGGCTGGCCCATGCCATCAACCGTTCAGTGATTTAAATTCACTTACTCACACAATTATTTCCTAAACATTAAGACAAAGTTTCAAAGCATGACTCCATGGCTATCACTGACTTGGAAACAATTGAGAAGGCAAAAATGTCCTCTGTCACCTCGCTAAGTCTTTCCTTATACTTCTGCTCATACACTGCAACGAATTTTTTAATAACAACACACTCTACCTTTTCTAAGTTGACTGAGGAGTCGGGAGTGTGTCCCTCCACAGCCGCACCCCACATCAACCTGAGCAGGTGGGGAAGGCAAAGTGCAGACTTCGCAATTTCACAGAGGCCCTGGAAGGAGCTTGCCCCTGGTGGGAGCCGGAAGCCTCCTCTTATCAGATTCCTGTCTTTCCTTCAATGTAATATTGTTCCCTTCTGCTCATGACAATGGGCTGTGAGCGAGGGGTGAGCAACACTGACAGTCGCAATAAGGAATTCAGCAGCCTGGATGACAGGCTGACAACGACATGACCCAAGACGCTCTCTGATTCCAAGGAGCGGAAGAACTTGAAAGACCCAACACTCCCGCCCAAGCCTAAACGCGGAAGAACGATTACCTGATCTAATATAGTTTTCTTCTTCTTTGAATCGGTGACGGAAGACAGCTGCATTTCACCCATTTTCTTCATCTTTTCATCCATGTCAATCTTCTGTTCCAGTTTTTTGATTTCGGACCTGAGGAGCCGGAGCGTGTCTTCCTTGTGGTGGTGCCTCGCGACGGCAGCTGCGCAAGCGGAATGGATGGCGGTGATCCAGTTCTCCAGCTCCGTCTGGCTGGTGGTCTGTAAGGGGGGGGCAGGTGGGGGCCAAGAAGAAACAGCGGCCTCTTAGGTTATCGGCAGGGAACCAGTGCATTTCTGGAGTAGCCATGGCCCCGGGAGTCAGGGTGACAGGTCTGGATACGTCGTGGGTCAGGCTACCCATCCTGACCTCATCTTGCAGAAATGCTGAGATAAGTTGGCCTTAGGTCAGACGCCACGCCCACCCCCAGCCTCCAAGAGCTGTCTGGAATATGAAGTCTCCGTGTCTGCTCACTCGGTGTGCTAAAGGAACTCTCTTGTTGTGATGGAAGGAATGTTTGTGTCTCTCCCAAATTCAAATGTTGAAATCTTAACCCCCAGTGTGATGGTATTAGGGGGTGAGGCCTTGGGGAAGTGATTAGGTCATGCGGGTGGAGCCTTCCTGCAGTGGATTAGTGCTCCTATAAAAAGAGGCCAGGGAGCTAACTAGTCCCCCTTCTGCCAAGTGAGGACACAGCAAGAAGACACAGTTTATGAGTCTGGGGGCAGGCCTGCCCAGAACTCAACCATGCTGCCACCCTGATCTTGGACTTCCAGCCTCCAGAATGTGAGAAATCAATGTCTATCACTGATAAGCCCCCCATTTATTTATTTATTTGTGCAATTATGTTAATAGCAGTCGAAATTAAGACACTTGAATATGTGATAATCCTATTCGGAGAGCTTAGTTTCTAGTGAAGAGGGTTGTTCTGAAGCAAAGGTCAGTTTTCAGAGAGGGTTGGCCAGTTCCAAGGTTGAGAATGAGGCCAAGGGACATCACTGTCCAAGGACAGTCTTGCCCCCAGTGAACTGCTGTGACCCAAATCCAAACGCCTTATGCCAGAGGCAAGCAGCAATGACACAATTAGGGTTGTGGAAGGAGCTCAAGGCATCCAGAAGCAGTATTATGTTCGGGGACACATGGGAGTTATCTAGGAAGTGGGGCCATCCAGCAGTGAGGAATGGTATTTCACATTCCATTTTCTTTTAAAATGGCTACCCCCAGCAATGGACAAGCAACCTCAAAGTGACTCAAGGTGCTCTGAAAGGCAAAAGTCAGAGAACAGTCTGGGGGAGACAGCTCCTTCGCACTAACCCACCATCACAAATACTTCAGGAACTCAGTCAACGAGTATTTATAAGTGAGGACATGCGAGAATTTTCCGGGTATCCCCTTAAGCCCGGAGAGGTTTAATAAACACTCAGAAATTAGCTCACTGAAGAAAAAGGTCTATTCAGCCACTTCAGTACTGAAGTAACAGCCAACATCATTTTCATGCACAAAACACTGATTTTTTTCCCTCTCTCTCTGATGCATCTTTTTAGCTTCCAAACTCATTGGAGTGATGGTTGGCAAACAAAATTCCAAAAACAGGCCCCCACCTACCTGGTACTCTGCACCCCGGCAACCAAAGACCACCCCAGTTTGTTATTTCTGTATCTCCTCAGTTTGCTATCCCACAAAGGAAACTGAAACACGGTGTCAGCCAACAGAGTCCCGACCCACTGTGCAAACCTCAAAAATATGGCAGTTGTTAGTTTATAGCGAAGTATGTGCCTGCACCTAAAGAAGACATCAGTGAGTGAAACGGTCTCACAGAAAAGCAACAGAGCGAAGCCAACGGAATCATCTTGTGAAAACTGAGGGGGAAAAGAGGAGGCAGTAACACTGGAAATTCCAGGTAAATACTTGTAGTGACCTGTAGGTCTGTATAGGAGACTCACCTTTAACGCTTAACGTTGCTTCAAACTGTTAATATGTATCTCCTCTTAGAAAGTCACTATCTTACATTTTATCTTTATATATCACTTTCAAGTAACTCCAGAAAAATACAGAGTTTTAGGTCCTCCCACACATGATAAATGCACCAGGCTTGCTCCTGCCTTGTATAGAGCACAGGGTTTGACCTTGGAGTCTCTCAGCATCAGTGGGTATGTTACCAAGTGGAGTTATTTTTCATCTATCCATTTATCTATCTATCTATCTATCTATCTATCTATCTATCTATCTAGGGAGGGAGCTAAGGAGGGAGGAATTAGCTCAGATGGAAGAACAATCTAGTAAGGATTCTTTTCTAAAAGAAAAGCTTCCAGGGGGCGCCTGAATGGCTCAGTCAGTTGAGCTTCTGCCTTTGATGATTCCAGAACCCTGGGATCAAGCCTGCTCAACAGGGAGTCTGCTTCTCTCTCTCCTTCTGCCCCTCCCCCTGCTCTGCTCTCTCTCTCTCTCTCAAATAAATAAATAAAATCTTAAAAAAAAAAAAAAAAAAGCTTCCAGGAAGAAAATACCAACTGATGGCAAAGATATGGAGCAACCAGAATTCCTAGGCAGTGCTGGCTACTGGATGGAGAATATACTGCTGGTATAAGTACTTTGGAAAGCTGTCGGACACTACCTAAGAAAAGCTAAATACGTGCACACCTTGTGACCCCAAAAATGCACTCCTGGGTATACACTCAACAAAAATGCATTCATACGCTCAACAGAACATATACACCAAAATGTTTATAGCAGCATAATCTGCAATGGGCAAAACTGGAAACCATCCAAACACCTGGCAACAGCAGAATGGATAAATAATGTGTGGTATAATCACACAATGAAATACTATAGAGCAAGAACGAAAGACTGCAACATGAATAAGTCTCACACACGTAACACTGAGGACAAGCGGCCAGACATGCAAGAATATAGACTAAGATTCTATTTGTATAAAGTACAAACACAGGCAAAAACGAATGTACGGTTAGAAGTCAGAAGAGGAGCTCTTTGGTGGGAGCAGGGGAGGGAGAAGAAGCTGCAAGGAACCACAAGGGGGGCCTCTGGGGTGCTGGCCATGTTCAGCTCCCCAGTCTGGGTGCTGGTTGCACATGCCTCCGACATGGGGGTATGAGCTTTTGAAACACCATCAAAATGTGTACCTTTCTGTGTGGATATTATACTTTAATAGAAAGTTCACCTAGAAGGGGCCCAGGTGCATTTTACGAATGGAGAAACCAAAGCCCAGAAAAAAATTAGGTATAACCCAGTAATTTATTATAAACCTTGATCTTTACCAATCCTGTGCTTAAAATCATTTTGTTAAACACGCCACACTGCTCCCCAACCCCTAGTTCTCATCGATTCTTCCGAAGACTGGGCCCCTGTGGTGTCATTCCTGTTGTACATGTAATATTTTGGGATCTTCCTAGGGACACAGGGGAATGGAACTTTCCTGCTCCCTTTAAAATTAGGTGTGGCCCTGTCATTTGGCTCTGGCCAAGGAGAATTTGAGGAGAAGCGACATGTGTCACTACTAAACAAAAGCCTGATTCACTCCCATTCTGGTCCCTTTGCTTACAGTCGTGGAAGCATGTGTCAGGATGAACCTTCTGTCAGCCTGGGTCCTGGAGTATCCAGGACAAATACAGCTATGAAGCTCTATTAGCCAATGTCCGTCAGATGTGTGGCAGGAATGAAAAAGGTGTATTAAGCCATGGAGATACGGGGGCTGGTCCTTCCTACAGCATAATCTAACCACCCTGACTGATACGCCAGCTAAGGGAGAATCCCATTTCAACGCTTCTAGAAAAGTCTATGTCACACACTTTCAACCGCCAAGAAGAGCCATAATCTGATAGGTTCTACGTAACAGCCTTTTCCTCTCTTTATTTAATGAAAGCAGGGCCCCTTCTTCCCTCCATCTTTGAGGGTCTCTGCCAAACTCAGCCAAGGGCAACACACTCCATTCTGATACCAGAGAGTTTACGTCTGCATCCCAGTTAAGAAGTGCAAAGAAAGCACCTGGCTGGCTCAGTCAATGGCGCATGCATTCTTGATCTCACGGTTGCAAGTTTGAGCCCCATGCTGGGTGCAGAGATTAGTTTGAAAAAAAAAAAAAAAAAGGAAGAAAAGTGGAAAGAAAAATTGATACTAGCTGATGAAGCTAAACAGCCTCTGAAAGATGTATATTTAATTTTGGCAGAGCAGCTATCCTGAAATTTATCTATCTATCTATCTATCTATCTAAGAGTTTATTTATTTATTTGACAAAGAGACAGCGAGAGCAGGAACACAAGCAGGGGGAGGGGGAGAGGGAGAAGCACGCTCCCCGCCAAGGAGGGAGCCTGATGCGGGGCTCGATCCCAGGATCCTGGGACCATGACCTGAGCCGAAGGCAGGCGTTTAACGACTGAGCCACCTAGGCGCCCCTGAAATTTATTTATTTAAAGAAAGAAAGATGGTGGTTGCCAGGGGTTTGGGGAGGATGGGAGTGGGAGCCAGTGTTCCAAGTTTCAGGTCTGCAAGATGAGAAGAGTCTGGAGATGGACAGTGGAGACGGATGCACCACAATGTGAACGTGCTTAATGCCACTGAACGTCAGCACACTTACAAATAGTTAAGATGGTATGTCATGTGTACTTTACCACATTTAAGATTTTAAGAAATAAACAAAAGCACCAAGCCCCACAGCCTAGAGAAGGACAGAGAGAAAAGTCTGCTTACAGCTTTATGAAAAATGTATCCACCAGTCATTTTAACCATTAAGCATGCCTCAAGCCTCCAAGCTTCTCCAGAACCTGTCAGTGGCTGAAGGCAGTTCCATTGGAGAGAACTTTTCCTCCTGCTGTCCTGTCTCAGCAACACAGCAGTCTCTGCCTTTCTCTATCATTAAGCCAAATCTATTTCTAAGAAGCACAATTCACTAAATGAGCTTTTTGAAAGGGCTGGTCCATTCCCAGGGGCATACCCAGAGCTATGTGTCGATGAGAGGGTGGGCTAGGTCTACCCTGACTGCTGTCAACATACAGTTAAGGAAAAAACTCTGTAACAGTTCCTGGCAGTTTACAGGCTTAACAATTCAGAGCAGCTCACAGAGACCACTAACTTGAAAGAATGTTTCCCAGTGTGGACTCTCCAAGATTTCAAATCTGACATGCTAGAAAAAGCTTTTCAAAGCCACTACCTTTGCATTACCTTCTTGAACCAGGCAAGTTTAATTAGGGACATTAGGTCTACTAAA